AACTCTTCAGTTATTACCAAACAACCTCAGCTCCGTAAACCATCATCATACTGAGTTGTTGTCTATTATTGTTTGACTGACAAACCACAGACATACAGATTTATAAAAGAAGAACTTCATGGTAGCTGATGAGATATTTTCAAGTTATTTCTCTGCTTAACACAGTTCTGTTCCCATAGATGTCCATTACTTTATATTACAATGAAAAATGTGTCCCTAGTTTGTGAAAATGTTAAGGTTCAGAGGGTAAAACATTTTCCACAATATTTGAGATATATACATTTATAAATTTATTGAAATTGAAATTTTGTGGTTGTGCTGGGACGTCAACTTTCTGCTTTACTGCCTGCAAAATATAACAAACTTTCAGTTCAGTTCAATTCAATTTTATTCACATAGCGCCAAATCACAACAATTCTTGCCTGAAGGCACTTTATATTTTAAGGTAAACCCTAAAATAATACAGAAAAAAGCCCAACAATCAGATGACCCCCTATGAGCAAGCACGTGGCAACAGTGGGAAGGAAAAACTCTCTTTTAACACTAAGAAGCTTTAATTACGCTGCTCATTGCAGCTTAACTAAGGGAGGATTCAGGCTCACCTGACACAGCCCTAACTATATGCTTTAGCAAAAAGTAAAGTTTTAATCTAAATTATAAAAGTAGAGATAGTGTTTGTCTCCCAAATCCAAACTTAAAGATGGTTCCACAGAAGAGGGGCCGGAAAGCTGAAGGCTCTACTTTTAAATGCTCTACAAAAAACAATAAGCCTGCAGTCTGAGAGCAAAGTGCTCTATTTTGGTGATACCACGCTATGAGGTCATTAAGGGAAGATGGTGATTATTGAAGACCTTGTATGTGAGGAGCAGGATTTTGAACAGTAGTCTCAGTGCAGCATTTTGGATCTGTTGATGGCTTCTCTGAGGTTTTGGGACATCCTGATAATAACAAATTACAGCTGTCTAGCCTAGTAATAAATGTATAAAGTAATAAATGCTTGAACTAGTTCTTTATCACCAGGAGGCAACGTTTAACTTGTGAGATGTTTCCAGACATTAACAGTAACATTCTTTAATATTGGTGAAAATATTCTTTTTAGCCTTATTCAAAGCCAGTGTAAAACACAGATAACCTGAGTTTGGTAATAAAGCGGAAGTGCCTTAAACCTGCATTCTGCATGGTGGCCACTAGGGGGTAACCACTGTAGTTGCAAAAAGATATAGAATAGAATGCCTTTATTGTCACTCTACAGATGTACAATGAGATACAGAGCATCTCCTACACAGTGCAAACATGTGGGAGAATAAAGGTGGTGAGATGCACAGTTTCTGCAGCTCTATATACATATGAACAGTATTTAGAAAAGAAAAAAACATATATAAAATGTATAAATATACAAATCTGGGAAAATAGAAATAAAAAAGATAAATAAGTAAACAAATAGTGTTGTGTATTTACAGTGTCGGTTATTGCGCGTAAAATTAAGTATTGCACAGTGTTTGTGGTAGTTGTGTAGTCTGTTTATAGAGGGAAGTCCTTGGGATGGGGGTGGTACTGTGTTGTCAGTGCGTGTGGGAGTTCAGGGTGATTATGGCTTTTGGGAAGAAACTATTTTTGAGTCTGTCTTTGAGTCTTTTGGTCCTTAAGAAATTCATATGCCCCTCGGCTCTGACCTCTATATTGTAAACACTTCCCTGCTGAGATAATGAACTAGGTCAATCCTTTCAGGTCCTATTTTGTCAATTTTGGTCCTTCAAAGAATTTGAAAGGAGGATTTACCAGGATATGTTCACTGACTGTAATGTCATGAGTACAAAATGGTAATAATGAAAGTACAGCCTGGCCCAACTTCAACTTCTTTTGATGGTTTTAGTAAATTTTGGAGAGTTTTAGACTCTTTTTAAATAAATAAAGAGGATGTGAAAATAATGACTCTAATGCAGTGGTTCTTAACCTTGTTAGAGGTACCGAACCCCACCAGTTTCATATGCGCATTCACTGAACCCCTCTTTAGTGAAAAATAAAATGTGATTTTTTTTTCAAATTCAAGACATAGATATGTTTTTTACTGGTGCACAAAATGAGCCGTGCATGTCATGGCGGAGGCTCTGCCGAACCCCTGAGACCGACTCACCGAACCCCTTGGGTTCGATCGAACCCAGGTTAAGAACCACTGCTCTAATGACTGGTTGTGGTCCTCTGATTCAGTGTGGACTCAATAGAGTTATTTATCGTTTCAACTCTTCATTCTGAGACTGAATGAAGGTATTTGTGATAGTAAAAGTTCTGTTTTTACGACTTCCATGCTTGTCTGTTCTCGAAGGGATACAATCATCACAACACATTATTTTGGAGGCCAAAGGCCAGAACTGTGTAGTGACGCTGAAAAGTCAATAATTAACTGCAGAGCTGAGACTGAATACCTTTGCACTGCAGGCAAACAACTCCATGTGTGGTTACTGCCTAAGCTACTTTGTATGATGTCATGTTTTATATAAAATCTTATATATCTTATAAATCTTAAATGTTAATCTTTAATTTTCTTTATTTTTATTTGTACCAGGCTTACTTTAATTCATTTATTCATTTTAAATTCAATTTATTTTGCGTATTCTTATGTACTTTATTTATATTGTACACAGTAGTGAGTAAATGTTTTGAGCCACCCTTCATTTTTTTATATTTTACTAGGAAAATTGAAAATAGGTGCAGTAAATCATTGAACCATGTAAGTGCTCATGGAAATGGTATAAGAAGCAGAAATGGAGTTTGTACAATTCTAATGAGCTTCAAAGTCAATACTGGGGAGGCCAATCAACCACTGTTAGTGTGTTTATCTATCCAGGTATGCTGTTACTGCATTGCCAGTGTGTTCGGGATCATGGTCATGTTGAAAAATGAAGCTGTTGCCAATCAGATGCTTTCCAGATGGTACTGCATGGTGGATCAAAGTCTGATACTAATACTAGCTCAAGAGTTCATAATTCCATCAATTTCGACAAAACCACTCTGCCACCACTGTCTGAAATTCAGACAGCATAATATAGCAGTCATTTTTAAACTTGGCATTTAATATAATACAATTTATACAATTTATTTATATAATACAACTCTTTTAATCTGGTAGTGAATAATATTTTTGTTCATTTCCTTATTTATATATTTATTTAAAGATACATATTTGTTTGTTTTTTTCCCTTTTCTTTTTTGTTTTGTTTGATAGAAGTGATTTAATGAAATTTCAATTACAATAATACATGTTTTTAATTTTAAATATATATGAAACCTTTACCAGTTTTGTAACCTAACTCATTTAACTACCTATATCTGGTGAGCTGTTTTTTATTTCTGTATTTTATTAAATTAGATTGTTTATTTACATCATTATGCATCATGTTTTTATTTCTATGTAAACTATATGAACTATATGTATTTTCTGAATGTAATTGAACTTGATTGTACTTAGTCTTTAACAGTCTGTTCTAAGCCATGATTTCATCAACATGCCACTGCTGTGTAGAGGGATCTTTCATACACAGGTCAAAGGTCATGACTTCTTACCTTTCTGTACTTCTTGCATGTATTTTTCCTTTTCTTCTTCCTCGCCTCCTTCTTCCTCTTCTTTTCCTCTGCAGTCTCCTCTCTCTCTTCATCATCCTCAATCAGAGGTTCATATTTATCTGGCAGGACGCTGAAATAAACCTCCTTGCTGGTTTTCTGCAGCTTTCTCCCTACTGAAGAAGCGCAGTCTTCCTCCTCCCTCTCCTGTGCTCCCATCCCTTCCTCGCTGTCGTCTGACTTTCTTCTCCTGCTTTCGAGCAGGGAGACCTTTGGAGCAAGGAGGAGTCAAACTTTATTAGTGGCCCCAAGCTCAGCGCAAACAGGAAACTCTGAGCTTTGACATAAAATCAGGATTAGAAGAAGAATGTGGAGGTTCCTCAGTTTTGAGGCTGAAGTTATCTGAAGTTTTGCGCACAGCAGCAGTTCCTCCCTGTTTGCTTATCTGCTGTTTGTTTTAGGTCAACAAAAAAAAAAAAAAAACAGAACAAGAAAAATAGATGAAAGTGTAACATGGCTGAGAGGCAGATTTCTAAATGGAAAAATACTGGAAACACTGACTTTAGTGAGTTTTATTTTAAGCAATTAAGTAAATAAATAAGAGGAAGGAAAAGGAAGAAAGCTCAAACAGCTGAGCGGACTTCAGTCATTAGTTTGAAAAACACAAAAACTTAAAGAAGTCCAGACGCTTTTCTTTCCAAGCGCCTTAGACTACAATGACTTAGTCCCTATACAAAGTTTAGCTTGGATATTTCCTGCTTTAGTCTCGATGATAGAGTGACCTGATGGCATATAACATGATGTATATTGTCAAATGTCAGTAACATTGTGCGATGGCTGCACAACTGCACAACTGAAATACTCGGGTAATTTTCATGTTAACTTTTACTGTCTTAATTTTACTTTGGCCTGTAAAGCTTCAGTGATTATAAGTTAACCAATTCAAAATTTTGAGTTAGTTTCTAATCCATGCCAGCAATAAGCTATAGTCCAAATGATGGCACAGAATTTGTTTTGTATTTTTTGTTATGGTACCATAGGTACACACTATATTGACTCTTTTCTGTTCTTTTTGAGTTACCTGGCTGCCACTCCAGTCCTTCCTTTTTTGAGGAAAAGAGGAGGTTCTTCTTCTTCTTCTTTGTGTTTAACAGCGGTTGGCAACCAACGTAAAGGAGCATTACCGCCTCCTACTAAAAGAGGAGGTTGAGGGTGGAGCTGGTTTAAATGCAGAGGCCAATTGAATGGACTTAACCATCTGTTGTGACCACGCAGGGGGGAATAGGGTCATTCTTGAATTATGGTTAGCTATTATCTCTGTAGTTTTCACCTTTGGTGTATACAATAGTTCATTCAATTGCTATATAACTGGAGCTGTCGCTCGTTTAGGCAGGTCAGTTTGCCGAATTATGGTTTGTGAAGGTATTTTAAGTAGAAGTTCTTAAGTTGTCCTCTTCTATGGGTCCACTTGGTTCCTAAAATAGCTCATTTTTGTCATTCTGAATTTTTGTAATGATTTTGTCCTTTTTGCAGAATAATATAACCCTTTTTTTTATGATTGTACCTGTATATTCTTTTCTGCTTGGTCCCTGATACACTGTATGTTGTGTTTCATGACTGACCTATTTCTTGCATAGTGTATACTGAATGTGACATATTGTGGTTAATTAGGTCAGTAAGTCTGATAAAGGTGAGAACGTGAGTGTGAATGGTTGTCTCTCTCTCTCTCTCTGTTAGCCCTGCATCAGTCCGGCGACCTGTCCAGGCCTCTTGCTCTGTGGTAGCTGGGATAGACTTAGGTCCTCAGTGACCCTGATAAGGATAAGCAGAAGAGAATGAATGAATGGAAGTTTGATATTTTTCTAACCAACTGCATATAATTATTTTTTGTTACATCTTGGATTAAACATCATGCATATCTTTCCTTCTATATGTTTCCAGGTTTGTAGATATCATCCTTTATTTACTTGTTCTTGTAAGTTTCCTTTTTGTCTTCCTAGGCACTAATTTTCACATTTATGACAACACAGTGTGTATTACTCAGATTTATTGACCTGTGTAAGACATGGCTCTGATTGGATATTACTGTCACTGGTTGTTGTCATGTGACCTGTCACACAATGCTTTGGCATGACATGCCGTTTCACACAACTTTGTGGTAACAGCTTGTAAATATTTTGGTCTTGTATGTTATTATACATTAAACCTGCTACATAAAGAATGGGTTGTCCCACTATGGTGTGGAAGACCATACATGGAATTTATTGCTGGTCACAGGTCAAGTACGATTTTTTTGGTTTTATTCTTTTGACCTGACTTGTTGCTCTTGACATGTCTTGATTTATATCTTCACCTGGGACTCGTAGGTTTCAACAAGGAATTTTTTAGCCTTGATTCAGTATTTGATTTTGGGCTGACTTGCATATAACTCTGACTAACCCTGATCCAACACAATAAACCACACAACTGGAAACACTCTCTCTCCCTACTGAAGAAAACACTCAGTGTGCTTTGGGCATAGGGGCTGTCTCTTTAGTGCATGCAGGAGGTAGCACACATGATCTCAATTAGACATTATACCAGTGATCTGGGGACTAATGTCTGAGTTGGTTTTGATGCTACGTTTGCATTCATACATGCACCTTTGTCAAGTCTTGTGTAGAAAAATCTCAGGTCTGCAGTGAATGTGTGAAAACAGCTTTTGGGATAACCTCTGACACAATAGTGAGGGTAAAACCTCACCAATGTGTCTGACACCTTGTTACTCATGCTTATTATCATCCACTTATTTTTAGCATGTTCCTCTGATGTTGAAAAAGAGGATATTGATGTGAAGAGCTGTACTCATACAGAAAGCCTGCGGCCCCTCGTGTTTACTTTTCTGCTTTGTCTCTTTGTTGTTCCCTGGTGTGGTAATAAGTGGAGCTTTACTGAGCATCAGAGGCCCAGAGGCAGAAGACTGACAGGGTTAAGGAAGAAAAACAATATCCCAACATGCCTGAGCTTAAGTCTGGAGGTGCTCTCAAGTAAGACTCTTGGCTTTTCTTAGTTTGTGGGTTTATTAACTGACAGTAATTTAAAACACACACACACACATTTACATTTAAAATACCATATTGTACAGTCAAAAGACATAACAGAAAAAAGAAAAGCTACAGTTTGCAGAACGGATTGTAAAGCTTTCAATTCGATTTCAATTTAATTTATACACCTCAAGGCGACTGTTGTTGTGTCCACCAGAACACCCAAGGTGAAAGGTTGTCCTGGTGGAGTTTTCCTTTTCAGCTCATTTAGTGATTTAGAGATGGTTTTTATCAAATTAGGAGCATGCCTTGTGATTTTGTGAACAAGTAAGCCAGACACAGTTTAGCTGTTTTGGTTCAAGCCTTGTGTTGGTAAGTAGTGTGTAGCTCCAGAGGGCGACGGTCCAACAGTTCATGAAGCAGCCTGAGATCTTGACGACCTTTGACCCTGCATAAATAAAAAGAGGAAGTTAGAAAAGAAGGTGATACTTGTTATCACCAAAATGAGTGTGTTAACTCAATGCCACAGTCTTCCAAGGAGTTGCTGTCCCAGCAATTTCACTGCAAGGTGAGACCATGTAATGCTCAGACAAATTGCAAAACACCCAAGAGCTACATTTCAGATTCTACAGGCCTCAGTTAGCATGTTAAATGTTTAAGTTCATGATAGTTTAATTAGAAAAAGGCTGAACAAGTTTGGCTTGTTTGGAAGGGTTGCCAGGAGAAGGTGTCTTTTCTCTAAAAAAGAACATGGTAGCAGAGCTTAGGTTATCAAAGTTGCAACTAAATAAACCACAAGACTCCTGGAGAAATGTCTTTTGGACATGCAAGAGCAAAGTGGAGACATTTGACAATAGTGATTTGACACGATGAACTGGACTCGTTTTGCATCCACAGAACCAGGTCATTCACAGCTGATGCTTGGCTGAAATTGGGTCATGCAGCAGGGCAGTGATCCCAAGCACAACTTCAAATCTACAACAGAATGGCTGAAAAAGAAAAGATTCAAGATGTCGCAATGGCCTGAGTCAAAGTTTAGATCTGAATCTGATTTAAATGTTGTGGTGGGACCTTAAGAGAGCCGTGCGTAAACAAATGCCCACAAGCTTCGATAACTGCATGAAGCACCATTGTAAAAAGCTGCAGTCATGATTGTGTTTCTTAATAATGATGTAAGAAATTGTTAAAGTTATACAGAAAATGATTACTGCGAATTGCTGCAGATAAAGATGGCTCTTAGAAGTACTGAATCTTCAAGTGTAGATAGTTTTTCATAGGACTGCATAGATTCCACTAGAGCACTCATTAGATTGGCATTATGATAAGAAAAAGACCCCCAGTCAGATCGTAACTCCACACCGGATGATCAATTGTCCCACGCCAGTCTCACCACTTTTTAAATTAGAATTATATTTGCAGTTGTAGGAAATCCCCTTTACAAACATATATTTTTATATTCAATAACCAGATGATATTTATAAATCATCATGGTAAATAATCAAGCTACAATGAGGCAGACCTAGTAGAAGGCTGTATGGGACAAATTAATTATCTATCATGACTCTGACTAGTGGCCTGCCAACTTCAAATATCTGTAGCTGTAAAGTGTGCAGTCTTTCATCTCCAAAAACATTGTGTAGAAACTTCACACAGCTCAGGTGCTGCCTGTAAACTTGGATTCTGAACAAGATGTCACTGTGTGTGTTCAAAAGATCAGCCTCCTGAGTAACATGGAACAAAGTAAAGACACATTTACAGATTCATGAAACAGACTAAAACCACAGTGTACCTACAGGAAGCTGAAATGAATCAAACTGATGGAAATCTAAAACACGAAGCCGATGATAAAACTCTAAATGACACCAATGGAAACTTGCTGAGCTCTGACCACACTCACACGGTGGCTATTTGAAATGTCATGTCACAGTGTGTTCACAAACGTGACGGCTCTTGACAGGAAGTGGCTGTCCGGTGTGTGTTTTTGTGTGTGTTTTGTGCTGCAGTGTGTGTGTGGAGTGATAACAGGAATTTGGTTTCTGTGGTTTTTATTCGCACAGCCTTTAGTTTCATATGTGTTCACTGACCTGAAACTCTGAGGCGACTGACTCTACAGGAACTGCACCTGACATTTTACTGACTGATCACTAAGATTACAGAAAGGGCCTGGTCTAAAGATTTAAGTAAACTTTGAAAGCCCAAATCTTTACAAAAGGACTCTTTTCCATACTTGATTATAAAAAAAAAAAAACACACACACAAACAGAGAGAACTTTAGAGCAATTAAAAGACAGCATAGCTAACTCCAATAAAGTCCAGCTTAAAAGTCTAAATTAGTCCTAATTCTAATCCCATGAAAACCTCACAAATCCCTAATCAGGCTAAATACCAGTAAGTCCTGAGTCAATTCCCAAAGTACACAAAAAATAAATTGGTATAAAATAAGTACTTGAATGAGGGTAGACGTCCTGCTACATTACTGTTTGATTTAGAGAAGTAAGGTTTAAAAGCTGAATTGTTAATTCTGAAAAACAGGTCAAACAAACTGCAGTCATCAATGTTAAAGCCCAATGTTTTAATCAACCCATTCATCCACCCTCATATCTTATTATGCCAACAACTGAACTGGTTCTTCTGTTTGAACTGATTTGTGTAATTCTGGAATATAAAGAATCACATTATCAGCATATAGCAATAGCTTAAGATGATCAGACTTGTTAATGTACTTATCTAACCAATAATATGTCTTGCTGTGCAGTTTATTTTACTAAGAGACCATCCAAAAGTGTCCTAGTTGTGATGAGTAAAGTAACATTCAAATAGATTTTAACACTTAGCGGATATCTGCGTATGTGTCTTGCTAGCATAAGCTAATAACGTATGACTTCACTTTTCTTAATAGGAATGAAAGGACTTCTGGGTCATAGCAGTCTGTTTCAGTAACTCAGACTAAAAGGGCCACTACAGCTATGATAACCCTTCTGATTTAAATAATTTTTTTTAAAAAAAGACTTTTTGTTCCTTACATTTGTGTTGGGCAAAGAGACTGTCAGGCTAGTTGATGTCTTGGTGCTCAGACTCAGCTTCTTCTTCCAGAGATAATAAAACTCAACACACTCAGAGAGGGACTTTGTTTGAACCTGAGGATACAAACATCATGGAGATCCATCATTATTTGTTACAGACAAACAGCAATTGTAATTTACAAAATTTGTCACTTTTGGTTCACCCACTGGTGGCACTGCAGAAAGACATTAACAGTAGTTAGTAGGAACTCACAGTTTTCTGGATGCTACTGAAGTCTTTCTGATGGAGCTGCAGAGATTTCACCAGTGACCTTTTCTCTGCTGCACTCCAGCTCACACCTACAGTATAAATAGGGATATTAATTAAAATGTGCTGTCTTTTTTATATCTGTGAATTTCTGAGTATGTGGTTAGATGGAAGAACAGCTGACCTGTGTGGTGACGGTGGTTGTTGGGTTCAGGAGTCGATAGCAGCTTCTCTACCGTCAACTGAAAGACATAATAAAGTGATGTCATTTTAGTCATGCCTGACATGGTAAGATTAAATATATTTTTATAGTCCCATTAATATTTTTGCTTTTTCAGATATACTTTTTTTGATAAATAGTTTTTTTGGTTTGTGGATTTTGTCTTTTTGGTGTTATTTGAGTCTATTTGGGTCTTTTTGTGTGTGTTTGTTTTGTTTTGTTTTGTTTTACAGTAGCTGTTTGTGTCTTTAAGGTTGTTTTTGGCTCTTTTTGGTGTCCTTGTGGTGGATTTTGTCTGGGTTTTTTTGTCTCTTTGTCTCTTGTTTCTTGCCTCTTTGCAGTTGGATTATGTGTCTTTGTTGTCACTTTTTTGTCTTAGTAACTGCTTTTTGTGGCTCTCTGATGTTTTTGTCTCTTTGTGGGGATTTTTTTTTTGTCATTTTGTAGGAGCTTTATGTATCTTGTGGTTGTTTTCTGTCTCGTGGTGTGGTTTTAATTATGTATATGCGGTCATGTTTGTGTCGTTGTGGTAGAATCTAGACTCTGGTGTTTTGTTGTATTTTGTGATTATTTCTATGACTTTGTTGACATTTTTGTGTATTTTTTGTTTCTTTGTGGTCTTCTTGTTTCTTTGCAGGGTTTCCAATTATGTTGTTTCTTGTTCTTCCTGAGCATGTTTTATTTTCACCTTCATTGTGATGTTTTTTGAAGCTTTTAGGCTTTTGTTGTGTATCTGAGCATTTTGGTTCACCTGGTGCTGTAGAAAAAAAGGCTCATTCGGTAATTATTCAGAATGTTGTATTTTTCATGTTAACATTCTAAACAATAATAGCACATTTTCTGTAGCCCACACTGAAGAACCAAATAGTCAAAGAGATTTTACCAGAAAGTCTCCTTTGCACTCTGATAAGACTTGGAGGGTGTACTCTGCGCTGGCTCCACCTCCTGGGACCACGCTGGATCGAGCCATCATAAGCAGAGCTTCCACTGTTTGAAAAGTGGTTCCATTTCTAAGATTAGTTCCAAGATCATCTAAAAACAACAGCAAGATTTCTGTGCATTCTATGTGTTTGTGTACCTCTGTGCTGATTGACGGGACGCTCTAGATCATCCCATGGAGTCCACTGTAGCAGTGCATTGTGGGAGTCAGAGTGGGCATATTTTTGGTCTTGTAGCGGTGGGATCTCAGCTTGGAAGCCCCGCCCTAAATTGATCTGCCTGTGATAGACAGTACCAGATTACCAGACGATCAGTAGATAGAACAATAACAAAGATCTTTTGGTAAGAAGCAAACATTACGTACGGCTTAACGATTCCTGATGTTAGTGTTCCAGGAGGAAGAAACGCAGTCTCTTTGGCACCAAGGTCCCTGGCTCCATCTGTCAGTCAGATGCTAACTTTAGCATTGTGTCATGACAATCATCCAATCATACTGCTCATTGTTTGTTTTTTCATTGACTCAGGATGAGCGTGATGCTTTTGTTTTTATCGTAACTGTTGAGTGTTTGGAGGCTGAAATGGGCTAAAATTAGATGGTTATAGATTTCAGGTGCTCGTCAATGCGATTTTATGACTTACTGTGGAGCTGAACAGTCTGCACTCTCTGCTGCCTCCTGGTGGTAAGGGAGCAGTACAACCCTGGCCCCGCCCTCTGAGGACACAGCATGGGTGGAGGGGTGTAATGACGGGTGCCTTTGTTAGGTGAAGAAGCAACTCTTTTTTCACCATCTTTAATGCCTTTGGCAGCATCTTCCTCATCTTGCGGGTGCATCAGGCTGCGGAAGAGTGCAGTGCTTCCAGTAGCTGGAGGGAGGCGGCTGCTTCTTGTCTGACCACCCCTACTTGCCTTTGACACACTTCGTGATTTCACTGGGACAGATACAGGCAGCACCATGGTGAATGGGCGCTGAACCAATGGGGCAGAGACCTAAACAAATGTAACAAAGAAATTAATAAATAATCCATCCATAAATATTAAAGACTTACTTTGTATTGTTTTGCATGAAGAGCCCACTAGGGGCAGCCTAGACGACAATGTATAGATGGCAGTGTGGGGACCTGACTCTCTTGTCCCGATAAAATAAATAATTAGATTTCAGAATTATGACTTGGTTAACTTGTTGGTATATTTTCTATATATGATTTATAGATTTGTTTCATTTATGTTTTTAGATGTTACTGAGGACCTTTTTCAAGCATGTAGATGATCTGAATCCACTGTGTGAACGCATGTGACCATTTAATGCTGGCAGGCTCCTGAAGTCACGCTTACACACCATACACAGCAGCCTGTAACACACATATTGGAATCATTGACATTAAAATGTATAAATAAACATTTAAAACTATAAACATACTTATTATTGATAGAGATTGGGGTTACCTGGTGTCAAGACTCTCAGCGGTATGCTCTGTTTGCATCTAAAAATTAACAGAAGAAAAATAAAACAACAGAATAAAGTTATGGTGACATTATTATTTATCTGCTTTCTTCATTGTTTCTACATTTAAACACCTACTTTTTATGTTTATTAACTTTATATTTTTTTATATAGTTAGTGTCTGTTACTTGACTGTTTTACCCATATTAGTTACAGAGATTTATTTACCTACTGTCTTCAGCAAATAGATATTTACTGTACATACTTCCATATTTACTATAATCTTTAATAAAAAAATTAAATTAGCATAACAACATACCCAGTTCCAGTCTGCATGACTATCATCTCCTCCTTTCCCTCCTTTCCCTCCTCCACACTCCTCTGTCCAGTTCAGCCCAGTAGAGAGGCTCATAGACTGGGCAGCACTCCTGACATGCTGGCCCTGTCTTGGTGTGGACAAGCTGGTCTCAGACGTGCCAGCAGTGTGAAGTAGACCTGTCAGGTTCTGCATCTGCTCTGTTTGGCTTGAGAGGAGGCGCTGGCTTGTCTGATGCTGGTGGTACTGACTTGGATCAGAGGTCTGATCACTGTTTATCTGGGTGTGAAAACCTGTTCTCTCTGTCCTGGGGTGCATTTGAGGACTGGGGCTGGAGACTGCTGGGGTTTGAGGGTAATGAGGACTTGGACCAGGAGTTGTGGGGCTACAGAAAGGCTGCGGAGCATTCAGGTAGCCATCCTGGAAAAACTGGGTGCTGGAGAAGTCTTCAGCCGGGTTGAGCTCTGTGGCACTCCACCCTCCCACAGAGAGCCTGTGGGGAGATGGATCAGCTTGATGGGCTCCTGCAGATATGGAGTCCAATGCGGCGCACTGAAGTTGGGAAACGGTTGGCTCCAGGTGCCTCCAGCTGTCCTCACCTGGATTAGACGTGTCACTATGTGTGCACACACCATTGAAAAGAAGTGTTTGAGCATCGTAAGATCTATGTGTGTTCTCCAAGGAATCTTCATGTTGAGGTAAACCAGAACTGAACTGGTTCTGGTTCTGAAAATCCAGATGAGCTGAGGTTTGGTTCTGTTTTAGATCAGAAAGGGAGAGAGGTTATTGATCAATCTGTGTTCAGGATGAGAGAAAATAGTTCCGTTTTTGTTTTCTTACCTGGTAGGAGAAACTGTTGCCATTAAGAAGGCAGGAAAGTTCAGAGTTGGATTCACATTTGGCCCAGTTTGAATGATCTAAGTCTGGATCGGGATTCTGGCAGAAGAAGTTGTGCTGAGATGAGGAGAAGAGGTGAGGGGAGGATATCTGTGGCTGCAGTTCAGGATAAAGGGCATGCTGAGTTGGGGAGAGGAGGTGAGGGGAGGTTATCAGTGGCTGTTGTTCAGGATGAGGGGATGTCACCTGAGCATAGGGTATAAGGTGGGGAGAGGTGACAGGAGGATAAGCAAACTGAGGGGAGGTCAGCTGGGGAGGAGGGGGGTGAGGGGATGGAGTCTGAGGGGAGCTTATCTGAGGCTGATGGAAGAAAGGGGAAGAGGATCCCTGCTGCTGGGGGAAGAGGTGAGGGGACGTAACCTGAAGATGAGGAAATCAATAAATGAGTAAATTGATGAGTAGAAGTTAGTAAGATGATTTTTTTTTTTAACAGTAATAATTATTATCTAAATAAGGAAAGAAAAAATAAAAATGATGACCTTGGCGTGTGGAGGATTTCCATGGTTCCTGAATGAGTGGGGGGAGGAGAGGGAAGGTGGGGTCTGGGAGGGGTGGTAGGTGATAGGAGGGGTAGATGATGAAGAATATGTCCAACAGTCAGACATGATGTCATGCGCATGCACACTTGTTTGACCTGAATGTGCTTCTGTGCATGATTGTGATCAGTAGATGCTGCTTTATCTGGATGGCATCTTCATGAGAATCTGCAGTGATGCAATTGAAGCCTGGTTAGTGACACTCTGGGTTCTGTGCAGAGAATGAATGCGGATGTGTTCTTAGAAAAGATGAGCAAGAGGAAAAATTGCTTACTGTTTTGTGGAAAATCTCAAAAAACTCTATTAGCAAACTCTTTTGATGTCTTTTTTCTGTGAGTGTGTGTGGTCTTATTTTGAGAATATATGATAGAGGTAAAAAAAAAATTTAAGATTTAATTCATTTCTTTTGCTTTTTTCACATCTAGATTGTTGTTCATTAGTCACAATATCAATTGAAAACCTTAGATCTGAATCTGTCTTGATAGGGGTTGTCTGCTGAGTTTGAAATGCAGCTATACTAATGTTCAAAAGGTTTTGGTCAGAATGAAATGTTTTTGTCTTTGAAATAAATTTTGAAGTCAAATAACATTAAGTTGAAGTGATAATGAATGATTAATGAGAGTTTGTGTAGGCACACAGACATACTAAAAAACAGATGTGGGGCAACATCTGGTTAGCCTTTATTTAGCTGTAAAACAGTCACTGAAAACTGGGCAGTGTTTAGTTTAGTTCAAATTTCGACAAAGATTGATGTGTTTTTGGAGCCCTGATATAGCCTTGAATGTATGATTCCATCCCACAAAGCAAAAACATCAGGAGCAACAACTCAACAACTTTTAAACGTGAGAAGGCATTTCCTCTTTACACTAAAAAGATATCAAGAAAAGAGAAAGGTCAGCCCTTCCATCCATCTTCTTCTTAGTAATAGAGCCTTTCCACACAGTCCAATGCAGTCCTACTGTATTGCAGGTGGTCCTGGCTTACAGTTCCTGATAACTGGCTGATATGAGGAAGGAAGTTTATTTTCTGATAAATTCTATTTTAAGTAAAGCACTCTTTGCCATATACCTAGAGCCAGTTTCTGGTATATGGGGTCTCATCTGGGATATTCAAACCAGTTGGTAAGGTTAGAGCTTTTGAACTTGCCAATGGTCAACTTAGCTTGCATTTGCTGAAGCCTAAACTCATTTTAATTGTTTTTCTTGAGCGCCAAGATTGTGAGGAGTTTCACACAAGATGTTGTTGTCTTTGGATGATGACTTAAACTTGTTTTGTACCTTTGATGTTAGAACACAACATTAGTTCTCTATTTGTTTGTTTGTTTGTTTCTCTATTAGTTTGGATAAGCAATGCAAGACCTTGCAAGATTAAAGTGGTTGAAGTCTATAGGTGACCCGTCAGGATAGTTTTTTTACTTTAGCAGAGCAGAAAACATGGCTAGTTGAATCATTGGCTAAGTGCCCACCACAAGTATCCGTGTAGGGTTGAGATTTGTTGTGCCTTCACCTTTGCAACTTGTAGACTGTGGCTTATTTGTATTACTTTACACCACTAACCCACGCAAGCAGACAAATCTTTTAACATTGCAACACCTCCACAAATTCCAACAAGAAAGTCCCCAGTTCATCAACAGATTCAGAGCCCTTGTAGCTGCAAGACATCATTTTCTAAGAGTCTTTACAACAACCTGAAAATGCCCACATAATATGACCACCTTGATTTAAATTTGGTTCAAATCAGATGTACTAAACACAGCCCAATTTTCAATTACTTTCGGGCTGCACAAATGCTACCTAAATTTGGCCCTGAAAACATCATCAGTAGAGGTCCAGTGCTTGGTGGGTATGTACACCCATTTAGATACTCCATGAACTCATTCATCTCTCCCAGACTGGATCTAATAATTTTTTCTGGGTGATATTCTGAGGAGCTCAGAAAAAAAAGTGACAACTTTCTGTTTTCCAGCACAAGCCTGATTTTATAGACGTGTATGAAAAATTAGTCTACAGCTCACTTGGTCTCTGAGCTTAGTGAACACTTTTACAATGAGTTTATATGTCAGTCTTACTTTCAAGTCCACTTCATCAAGTCTTCTTTTCAGTATAATCAAACTTTAAGCTTACTTTGGAAATTATGTTCCAATTAGAATTGCATGTTTCAAGTGAAAATCCTTATTTCTAACTTTTTTGTTGTTATGCTATAGGGCACGTGTTGAGCATTTTAGTTGTTGCCGTCATCAGGTAACACTATAGCTTCCTAATTTTAACAAATATAGCTCTTGTTAAGAAATACTGCCTCTTCAATGGCTGAAACCCTGTACAAAAAGTTAGCAGTCAGAAATAACTGTGTTTAAGCACTGTTAGTGTGCGTAGAAAGGCTCTGCTGACCTATACTGTGCAATGGAAGGTTTAACTAAACTCAAAGTAGACCTGTCATTACTAAGTAGACCACACGGTGCCTATATGACTGTAAGTGTGAATGTGTGATAACACTTCTAAGAATTCACACCCAGAGATGATTAAAATTCATCCTTTCTTAAAGTGACACCTCCAAGTTTTATATGAAGGTCAACACCAACATTGTATTTCATTCTTTTTCTTCTGTTTTCACATCTGGATTTTAGTTTATTTTTTTTATGTTTTTTTTTTTCTAGAAAAGATAATGAAGCCTTTTAAAACATGTACAGTTTTATATAGAGACAGAGAGTTTCCACCTTAACTGTAAACATATGCATTGTTTAGAGCGAAAACGTCTATGCTGAAAAAGTTAATGTGACAGATGCACAACAGTAAATATTACAAACGAACAAACGGAAAGTAAAAATCAAGAAGAATGACAGCGAACATTTCGTTTGAAATGCAAAAATGAGCGCTCACCTGAAACATCATCCACTCAGACTGGCTGACTCTGACCGTGTGTGTGTGTATGTGTATGTGTGTGTCAGGATGTGGTCACATTCTCTTCCTCTCTTTGGTCGATTCTTCATACTCTGCGCTTCTTCCTCATGATTAAGAGTTTAGAGGCCCGAGGAGACCAACGCGTTCAAAGAAGGAAATGTAAGACACAAAAACTATCAAATGAGAATCTTAAAAAGCACAAAATATGTGAATAAATGAAGATTTTTCAATCTTAATGCTGACTGAATCAATGTGGTTAACAACTTTATTCTACTACAACAAAGTGGGTAAAATAATTTTATAATCTCAACAGATGTTGCTGCAGATGTTCGAAACACTTTGTTTTTTGGCGGCTTTGGTGACCATGTTGGTGCTTCCTGAAACGTCCAGATTAAAGAAAGACAGTAAAACTGCACAGATTATTCTAATTTGAAGTTTACTTTGAGAATAATCAAGCACCCAGAACATTTATATTTCTATTTTTGCATATGCAATTTTTGTTAATAATGGCATTTTTAAAAAATATATACATATATATATAGTTCTGTGTTATAAAACAAGGCCTTAGTTGTCTGTATTCTCCTGTCTACGTCTGTGTTAATTAGAGTTAAAGCACATAAAGTACATTTTAATTCGAGAAAATGAAGATAAATAAACAGAATACTAAACTTTCGGTGGAACTGTTGTCAGCTATGTTGCAGTGCAGCACGGCCGCTTTCTCAGTGAAGGACTGAGTTCAAGTCAAGTCTCAGGAAAGGCGGAAATACATAAATCTGAACGCTTTGTATTTCCAAAATAAAAGCAGTTATTCCGCTTCTTTCTGTCAGCAATTTTTAAGTGATAGAACATAACTTATAAACACACATTTATAAAAGTATTTTTTTAAAAGAAATTAGATTTAGATTTTGTAACTATATTAATTTCCTCGCTACCCGTTTGACAGTTTGTGGCAAGGCTCTTTTTTTTGCAGTAGGATGCGAAGTCCTTTGTCTTAGTTTTTTGTTACGTGATAAAAGTCAGTCAGATCAAAACTTTCGTTTCATAAATGCATTAGTTACATTCAAGTTAGTATTTTCTCTTAATAAAATGTTAAACAGACACAAGTTGAATTTGTGTTCAATTCATGTCTAAACCTGTTAGACCCAATTTTGTCTCCCCTATGTTATAACTGTTAACAAGTGGGTGAATTTTACCCGCGTGGCATGTCCTACTGGGAGGAGGCCCCAACATAGACCCAGGACTAGGACCCAGAGATTGTGTTTATTGGCTACCCTAGGAATGGCTCAATGAGGAGGTGACAAGACGGAGGTCTGGAATTCCCTGCTTCTGCCCACTATATACGAATTCAGATAAATGGAAGAAAATGAATAGATGATTTGTCATTTTGTTGTTTTAGATTTTGGCTTTTATTGAAATGGTTGTTATTCATTTTCAAAACGTGTACATCACTTCTGATGTTAACTTGTGATATTTTAGTAATACATAAACATCTTTTGTAGTATCATGTTTTATCATATTTATTATTGGTTTGTTTTCAGTGTTTTTCTTCTTTGTTGTTTGTCAGGAGTATAACATGCAATGATAATGCATAATGCAAGGTGGCGCATAGTTAAACGGCATAATTTATGACTGAATAATCTGATAAATGGTTTAAAATGTCTTTATTATTAGTTTTTGACATATTCAATTTTACAGTTTTAAAATTTTGCTTAATATCTGAGTGTTCCTTAGTTTTACTCTGCGTTTTGTTTTCTCATTTGTCGACTAAGAAATTAGTTGCCAGGAACTTCCCTAATATTAAATTACGCAGGACATGCAAATTCATAACCAGTTAAATGAATTAATTTGTGATTGTGTTTTTTTTCTTGTTGTCACAGATTTTTAAATTCTATTTAAATTTGTAATTATTGTTTTAAGTTATATATTTATTTATTCAGTTATTTATTTGCTATTATTATATATCAATTATGTATTTTTTATTAGTTTTGTGATAATTATTCATATTGTTTGTTGTTTATTTCGTTGTTTTTGTTGTTTAAAGATAAAACCAACTATATACTGTGACAATAAAATAAGGTGTATAAAAATCTGTGTAAGGCTTTGCGTGGTTTTACTTTGAAGGTTCGAAGCGGAAGTTGATTGCAGTTCGTGTCCGTACCAGCAGCTCATCTTCGGTCCGGGTCTGCGGAGACCAGCATCCGCTTTCAGTCCCGGTAAGCACGGTCTGTGAGCGGCTGTTTGTGCACGTGAAGTGACTTACAGCTGCAGCTCGTGTTTTAAAAACAGCGCGAGGAGTTAGTGGGAAGCTAAAGCTAACAGCTACAGGACGTTCGGGGAAGCAGGAGTCTGTGTCGTCAGACGTTACGTTGTACGTCGTGAACGTGGTGCAGTTTAAAAAACAATGATACAAAGTGTCTGTTTATGTTGCTGTTTCTGGTCCTTTATGGTTTTTGTCATTAAAATAACTTTGTGGCCAAATGTAATAGGAAATGTCTCAAACTTATTAAAGAAAAAGGTTTAAGAGCTCCATTTCTGCCAAATGATAAGGTTCAAACAGTTAATCAATTACCAGAAATATATTTCATATTCCTTTTCTGAGTAAAATATATAAAATATTGAGATATTAGTGAAATGTTACAGATGAAAGCTATTTTAAGCTAAGTGAGTTTTCCATCAGTTTTTTTAGTTTTTTGTCCTTCCACCTGAAACGCTGACAATAATATCTATGATGGAAAAAGTGCACACACAAAAAGACAAAAATTCATTTCCTGTTGCTTTTATTTTGACATTTCAGATGTTCCTGACCTCCTGACATGAAGTGATGTCAGAAAGCACAATGATGTCACAGGTCAAAAAGACGTTTTCTCTTTTAAACCAGCGAGCCTGCTCCTGGTCCTGCTCCAGATCCAGCTCCAGCTTCTTCACAGACTCTGACAGTGCAGGATTAGTTCTCCAGTCTCACTCCACTGATGTGTACCAAAATCTGGCTCTGGAGGACTGGATTGACGCCAACGTGGAACTGCAGGGGCGTGGCATCTTGCTGCTATGGAGGAATCGGCCCGCCGTTGTCATCGGGCGCCACCAGAACCCTTGGACTGAGTGCAACCTGCCGGTCATGAGGAGAGCGGGCATCCCTCTGGCTCGCAGGCGGAGCGGCGGTGGGACGGTCTTCCATGACCTGGGCAACCTGAACCTGACCTTTTTCACTTCCAAGAAGGCGTACGACCGGCAGAGGAATCTGAAGGTGGTCACAGACGCACTGAGGCGCCTCCGGCCCGGACTGGACGTCCAGGCCACCGACAGGTTTGACATCTTACTGAACGGACGATACAAGATCTCAGGTACGAGGCCAGAGTGAGTGAATGAAAGCACAAGAAAGCAAATAAGGGAAGAAGATTAATTAATTACAGTAGAAATAAAAAATAAAAATAATAATAATGTTAAAAAAAAATTGTATCTGTTTTTAAATGTTGTTTTAATATATTTTTCTTTATCTGCTCTCAGACTATTAAATACACCGACTCTGCAGCTGGATTAATAAAAACTAAAAATAGACGTTTCCATGTGTCTGATTGGTCACATGCTGCTTCTCTGTTTATTTTTGTGTAGCTTTGATGTTTACATTCATGTTTCTGTTGTTTACTATGAGTGTTTGTTACCAGGTCATCATTGTTTACATTGTTTATTTGTTATTTTGTTTTTTTATGTTCAGGCACCGCATCCAGACTGAGCAGGAAGTCGTCGTACCATCACTGCACGCTGCTTCACTCTGCCGATCGCTCCGCCCTCTCGTCCGTGCTCCGCCCTTCCTGCCCCGGCATCCAAAGCAATGCCACTCCCAGCGTCCCCTCGCCTGTTGCCAACCTCCTAGACCATGCCCCCTCCCTGCAATGGGAGGAGCTCCTGGGTGCTCTGGTGCAGCAGTATAACACAGGTACGGTCTTCCTGCACCCCAAAGGATACGCTCTGTCTGTATTCAAACGTTTCTGCTTCATTTATTTTTATCTTGTTTCAGAGTTTGGCCTCCACTCTGCGTTGACCGACATAGACCCAACTAATGAGTCCATGTTTCCTGGTGTGGGTGAGATGGAGGTGGAGCTGCGGAGCTGGGACTGGACATTTGGGAAGACGCCTAAGTTCACCATGGAGACGCAGTTGGAACTGACGAATGAGCAGCCGCCCGCTCGCTGCTCTGCTCGCTTGCAAATGGAGGTGAAGAACGGGCAAATCGAGAGCTGCCACTTGGACGTCCCTGTGGAGTGGCTCCCCGTGCGGCTAAGCGGCGAGCTAAGCAGTGTGCTGATTGGGGAGAGGTTCTGTCCACATCGAGCCGCCGCTGCCTTCAGTGCAGTGCTACGCTCAGAGAGCGGGGCAACGCACAGACGACTGCACCGCCTGTGTGACGCCATGCTCACTGTGATGGGCTGAGACGAGGCAAACATCAAACACAAGTGAGATGCTGCCCCCTGCAGGCTGCGTGCCACATTACAGCCGGTTAAAACCTTAGAAATGGAGGAGATGTCTGTATGTCTGATGGGCAGATCATCTGAGCAAAAAATCTGATCAATCAATAAAGGAAATGATCATCACAGCTGAGAGGTTTTCCTGGAACAGACATTTACGGACATCTGAGTTTTCATTTTTTACCCTCTCGAGTGAACAGAGCTGCTTTTTCACTTTATTTGAAATGCTTGAAAGGAGCTGCTGTAATTTAGTCACAGCTGTGAAAACTGTTCATGAAAATTCACACAGGTTATTATTTTCTGTATTTTATTTGGTAAAATACAAAAACAACTACAACAAAAATACAAAAACTCATAAATTATTATCGCCTTCATTTCTCTCATCAGCTAATGCTTTTTTCTTTATAAATGCATAAAACTACATTTGAAAAGGTTTTCATACAGCAAAACAAGATCTACAAGAGGCCTTTTAACATTTAACTTTAACATAACTTTAGTATTTAACATCTAAATATTTAGACGAAAACACAATTGTTTTAGGAAATTCACAAAAACAATAAATCAAACAGTTTTTAAGCACACAAATCAAAACATACAGGTAAAAATGAATTTACTGTAACCTCCTTTAACTTTAATTATTTTATTATTATTATTTTATTAAGCATGTACTGTAAAATAACACCTAACTCTCCCGATAAATGTGCCAGCACTATTATGGTATATATTCATTTTCTTAAATAAATATTTAAATGTAAGTTGATGTGTATACTGTCGGGTAAAAATCAGCCTAAAACACCATATCATTGCATGTATTTGAACCAGTATATCAATTCAAGCACAAAAATATGCTCAGACTTTCAAAATAAAAGTCTGTGGGACAAAGTTAATAATGATGCAAAGCATGTGGCTGAAGGAAACGAATGCATCATCAATAATACAGTTTTATTGTAAGTCATCAGACCGAAGGCGTACAACGCATGCGCAAAAGTACCGATTCAGCCACGCGTGCTGACCAATGACTGGAGGGGAATATAACAGGAGGTGTCACTCTGACAGTTTCTCCGTGAACAGACAGTCACGTGATATCATTATTTAGGAGAGAAGCAAGTATTAAATAAAATAATAAGATAAGCAATGGAAACTGATAATAGCGTAATTAAATATTTGTTGTATGGAGAGGAATGGCATTTATACATCACCTTTATTCGCCACTTTAAGTATTTAGACTTTTTGACATTTTTCAACTTTGATAGTAAAAGTTAATAAAATCATCAGCTGTGGAAAATAAACCCAAACTCTAGTGGATATGTCACTAGGGTGACCATATTTTGATTTCCAAAAAAGAGGACACTTGGTCCAGACATGGAGAACTTACTGTTTGCTTAAATAAAACTTTAACATATTTAAACGATGCCTTCTCTGTGCGGTTAATAAAAGGTGAAATAAAAAATGTCATATAGGCTTTTACAAGTCAACAAGTGCAAAAAGAGGACGGTTGGTCACCCTAGGATGTATGACATTAGAGGTGGAGGAGGAGCGGAGTGGCCCCTCCTCGTGGTCAGTAGGAGATCTTTTCCCGCTGTGAGCCGTCGTGTGCGTCGGCCAACACAGAGCAAAGTAAGCGGAGACCTGAAGCTTCAAGATGGGGAAGAAACAGAAGAAATCCGGAGAGGACAGGTAGGGAGCGCACCGGCTACCGATAAACATCACTGGTCCGCACTGACACCGAGCCCCATTGGGGCTCTCCCGGCCCGTGAACACCCCCAGACCGGCCCGTTTTCCCGCTGCTTACAGTGTTAGCTTAGCGGCTAGCCGTGCTAGCGGATGCTAACCACGAGTCTGTGAGGGAGTGAGGCAGCGAAGCTTTAAACAGCCTGAATGTGGCTTAAGGAGAATTACAGAACAGCAGGCGGGCTGACACGGGCGAATCCGGGTTACCCTAGGCCTGGGTGGGCCCCCCCGCCAGCTGCGGGGCTCACGGGAGCCACATGTGTCCGCGTTAGCCGCCTCAGAGCCGGCTGCTGTAAGAGGCGGCCTGCAGTTGCTGTAACGGAGACACATCACCTGTGAGCAAAGACCTGCTCGGTGACGCAAGCCTGGCTGAATCACCTGATCCGCTGCGGTCACGGCTATCCCCAGGTACAGCACAGATGTGCAGTTGTTGCTCCTTTATTGACGAGTAAGCTCTAAAACGTGATTATAGTGAATATAAACAGAGCAGGCAGGTACAGACACGCCACAGTCTGGGAGCGATCACCTGCTCGTGAAAGGAAAGTTTGATCGGGTTTTGGTACGCTGATGAAATCGGTCACCTTATCTTTCATTTATAATCAATACTAATAATGCACTAATAATAGTCGAGAGGCTTCAAACTGGTTTTAACCCTCCATGGACACCGTTTCACGAGCCCACCTGCTCGTGAAACGCTCTGATCAGATTAAACGGCTCAGGGAGGGAAACTCACACTAATTAGCTGAAATAAACATTTAACTCAAATATAGATATAACGGGAGTGATGATACACAGGGCTCGCAAAATTTCAAAATCCCTGGTAGCCCTTCGGGCAGGGACTCTTCAGTCTTTGGTAGCCCAAAATAAATTTAAGTAGCCCGAATAAAAAAGAGAACAATTTTTTTGATTGATGTTAATCAAAAAATTGTTGAAACACAAATTACAACATTGTATAAAAATTACAATCATCAACTCAAATACTTGGTTCTAATTAAACAGAAATTTCTACGAACTTGTATGAACTGTAGAACATGAATCAGTCTGTGTCAGATCCTGAATTTGAATTTTCCACTGAAGTCACGGGTTTTTGAAGTTTGCAAAGACTGCTAAATTGTGCCAGTGGTAGTTCACCCTTTGCAACATAGTACGCTGTTCTAAGCAGATTTTTCAGGTTTATTTTTAGTATGTTATTTGCAATTGGTGTTTGTTTTTGGAAAGATATTGCAGACTGAGCAATAATGCATTTCTTGCATTTCTCATGGGTTCTAACGGGGGCCTTTCTTAAAATTATTGGTCCCAGTAACAAAGGCGCTTGTCGACTCAGAAATCGAGGGAAAACCAACAAC